CCGTTCTTAGTTACCATACAGTGAATCGTTGATCTACAGCTTTAGGCGTTCTTAGTTACTATACAGTGAATCGTTGATCTACAGGTTTAGCCGTTCTTAGTTACCATACAGTGAATCGTTGATCTACAGCTTTAGGCGTTCTTAGTTACCATACAGTGAATCGTTGATCTACAGCTTTAGCCGTTCTTAGTTACCATACAGTGAATCGTTGATCTACAGCTTTAGCCGTTCTTAGTTACCATACAGTGAATCGTTGATATACAGCTTTAGGCGTTCTTAGTTGCCATACAGTGAATCGTTGATCTACAGCTTTAGCCGTTCTTAGTTACCATACAGTGAATCGTTGATCTACAGCTTTAGGCGTTCTTAGTTACTGTACAGTGAATCGTTGATCTACAGCTTTAGCCGTTCTTAGTTACCACAGGGAGGATCAGCATAACAGACAGTTTTTAGTTCCCGTGGTGTTCAGTGTCTGAAAATTGAAGCAACAGAGAGTTGATAAGTTAGACCGTTTAATAGCCTCGGATCATTTCAAAATACGTTAAAAAGTTGCAACCTTATAAAACTTTTTTTTCATTACTAGTATTAATTTTTCTAATATCTTTTCAACTAGATTATTGCATAGTAATTACAGGCAGCAAATGAAATACGTTGATAACATAATGACTTAAAGAGTTTGTTTTTTGAAAGTTACAACTAAAATGTAATACTTACATTAGTAATGATGTTGTCGTTACGACAGCGGAAGTCACGTGACACTGGTAAAACGTGATGAGTTTCTAGAAGGATCGGGGAACATCACGAATAATCCAGTATTTGCTAGACGCCCTCTATTCCTGTGTATAAGCGCGCCAGATAAAGCAAGACAATTAATCGGAACTGGAATAGCAGACAGAGAGATTGAAGATATAGACAGATAATCGAGTCAAGCCATAAGTAAAGTGTGTAAATCATTGTGAATTATAGCGTGTGTTTAAGTTAAAGTGACTGTGGAAATTAAGTGTATTGCAAAGTTGTATTGAGAAAGAATAAACTAGTTTTATTTAAGAAAGGACTTGTATCGCTGAAGTTCTCGGAAAGAATTTCTACGAAAAATTGACAAACGAACACAGACGTAACATTGTATTATAGATACGTGGCTAGAAGTAATAGGTGAAAAACGGCGTAAAACATCAATGTAAATAATAATTACAGTTTCAAAAATTCCCTTTAATCATACTTAATACGTTACAGTAAGTAATATTTTCTTATTATATGTTCATAAATTATTTATAGTTAAACGTTTGATAAGATTTAATTCGAATTTACAAAACTTAAATGCCCCCCCCCCCACCACACACACACACTCACACACACTGCAACTAAAACGATTTGATAGTTTGTTTCAAAGTTTGTTTTCCCGAACCCCTTGAGTAATAATAGTTTTCTCAGCGTACCCCTTTTAGGCTGTAATAAATATTGTAAAATAAGATAACTTTTGAACGTGTTGAATTTCTTGAAAGTAAAAAAAATCTGTGACACATAGTATGTAATAGGTTTACAATAAAACCTGGTATTGGCACCAGTGTTAGTAAAATTGATACATGACTCATGAAGCGTGATAAAAAAAAAGAAAACAAAACCATTTAACTAAAACTAATGAGACTTCTAAACCTGTTTTCAAGAACAC